TGAAGAAATGTTTTGGCAAATATATTAGAAAATATTTTTATATTGGTTAATTTGCATTAACATTAAACTTAATCATCAATACAGAAACTTTTTTTTATCAATTAAAAATTTTATTTTTCTATGATGTTGGGGAGTTAGAAAAATTTAGATAAATTGAAGATATTTGGTAAATTTCTAAATTTCCTAAGTTGCATACCTAATTAACATGAAAATTTTTTATATTGAAATATACACAAGAAATAAAGTAAGCAGGCAGTTCCAAAGCGTAAACAATCAGTACAAATTTTATCATTGTATGATGTTTTTTCGAGATAACACAATGATTAAAATCTATGCAAGAGAATGAATTCATCATTGAAATTAAGGAACAGATTTTGAAAGGAATTTCATTCACAGTTTGAATTTATCATTTGTTCAAAGTATTCTTTTGTGTTCAATCAAAGAAAGTACTTATTCCAATTGTCTATTTATCAATTCACTGGAAAATAATTAAAAGCAGGTTAAATGATTGATTTGAAATTATGCCGTAAAATACGAACGAAAATTTTCTGCAGTAATTTTATTGATTGTTATGTATCAATTTAGCAAATTTAGCGTAAAAGCAAAGCTCAAATATTTCATTAATTGAATTTATAATTACTCCATTATCTATACAAAAGATATTAGCTAAATTTCGATCAAAAAGTTAGTGTAAATTAGATCAGTCAATAATTTTTTTTTGAATAAAATGAAAAGTATGAGAATATGAATTTGGGAAAAAACGGATGTTTGCAATGAAAATGTTTGCGGCGCTTTCGCATTTATAAACATTGCAGCACGGTGTGTGCCATTTACCCAAAAATTCGGCACTTTTTGAAGCATTTACGTGTTTATTCGTAAATTCATTAACTAAATTTATCACATCATATCATTTAATATAATCAAATAAATTTGCACATTCGTCTGTATGGCGTTAATTAATTAAACACTGAGTAGAAAATATAGAAAGGGAGCAAAAGAAGAAATATGATTTTCTTTTTGCATCAAAGATCGAAGAAATGATAAATTGAAGAAAATATTTGAACGAGAGTTATATTCATAGAAATTAATAAAATGAATTAAGAGGAAGTTATGAATTTGTCGAATTGTTGCATGCATTATAGAAATGTTCACAAATTAATTATAATGACAAATTCTGAAAAATTCATTGATTATTTTGAAAGAGAAATTATTTTATTCATCGTTGTTTCCACCACTTAAATATTATCTATCAAATCTATCAAATTTACCACAAAATTATATCACTATTGGTATGAGTTATTGCATATCTCATTAATTCTCTAATATATTAAAAACTTATAATTTCATTTTAGTACATATGATTTATTCATTATATGATCTATCCAATACGTTTTTTTTCGAAATTATAAAATTTTTGGTTTTAAAGTTATGGCTAATTTTATGTTATAAGATTCTTCAAATGATTAAATTTTCTCATTTTATTCACCATTAAAATTTGCATACAAATATTTCAGAATTACAGAATTCTATAAACTTCATTCTTTTCAAAATTTCACTTCAGTACTTATAGAAAGCAATGGGAGGTAAATATTCAAAGATATTTCAGCAAGATGATATTTGTTTTTTAGAATAATTTATGATATAAAAGACGTAAAGCAAAGGTCAAATATATGTGGGAATAATGGTGGAGCGGCTACATCACAGAAAAGGCTGTAAAAGCAAAGGATTCATTTTTATCAGCTATTCACAATCTTTAAATTGAATTTCATTTAAAAATATCCCATACTTAAAAACTCAAAGGTCAGGCATAAAATGATTTGAAATTGTTAGGTGATTTGCTAAATGTATTAATTCGGTAGGGTAGGAATTTAGCTTCGAAATGTTCTTCAGTTATTGTTTGAAAGCTATTTGATATGTCAACAATCAGAAATTATATGCATACTGCAAAATGGCCTGATTATATATTAGTTATAAAATATCTTATCAGATTTATAATACAGAATTCTCAGATTTTATCCAAAAATTCTTTGAAGTTTTTTTTGGCAGAATCAAATCGAGTAGATAAATGTTAAATTTTGCAAATAATCGAAAAATATTATCAAATTTGCCAATAAATTACCAGATAAAGACTGGTTGATCAATAATTTGAAGTAAATAAAACTTCTCGTGATTTCCCAACAGTATTTCTAGGATCAGAAGAAGCATTTTATCATGCTATTGAAATTACCGGTTATACGCTAACTCTCTTCATTTTTGAGTAAACTAGTAAGTAGTATTATAAGTGATATAAATATCTCAAAGATTGTGTAGCATGATTAAAAAATTAAGAATAGAAATGATTACCTGTTCTATAAATAGCCACTTAGATGTCATTAGCCAATAACCCAAGTAGCAGCTTATGCTAATTTCAGCCAAAAAATTCAGATCATAGCTGGTTGCAGTGGAGATGGTTGGATGGTGTGAAACTCTTGAATATAGTCAATTCGATATCAAAATCAACATTTGATCATTCGATTGTGTAGTGTTTGAAATTTTAAAACCTTCACTGAAAAAATTCCAGCTGAAAGTCCGCAAGGTATATCTTAGAGTAATTCTGCTTACTTTTTGATAAATGTCATTTTGCGTAAGAATAAGTATGCTTGAGAAAGAAATGTTCCAATTTTTAGTTGATGTTTTGTCTAACTTATCAAATAGTACAATTTTTTTTTTCAGTAGAACAAGCTTTTGTTTTCTTCCTCTTAAACATCTATTGCAAATTCCTGAGGCCCTAAACCTAAAAATTTAAAACTGCTAAAATTTTCAGCATGTAATAAAAAGATGACAATACAAAGAAATATCGAACAAAGAATACCAAATTTTATTTTGTTAAAATTTTCTGATCTCTTGATTTCTATTAAATATAACAAATGAATAATTTCCCCACTGTTTCATTTTTTTTTTCCTTGCTATTTAATAGTGGAATGAAAACAATCGTTTATCAAAATGCAATTTGTGTTTTCCATTAATTTCAAGGATCGTTAAGGTCATGTTGATCAATATGATTCATGATATTTTTGTAAAACTCTCTTCTTCAGATATATCGTTGTAATTTTGCAAAAAAAAAAATGAACAATAAATAAAAATCAAATCTTCCAAATGCTAATAAATAGTTGCTGGGAGTGATCGTCTGTTCATTTTCATCTGCGATTTATTATTCGATTTTATCAGTGGCTGTAGTAAAATTATCAACGAATAAAAAAACAACGGTTTTCCTACGATTACTTCAATAATTTGCAATTTTAATCAAAAATTCTACAAATGGATGCGATATTTTATCTTAACAATTAACTTAATGAATCTCACGGTACTAATAGATGTGCCAAATATAGATTTTTACTCATTTTACGCTAAATTACTTTTTGATGTCATGTAAATAAGAATTAGCATACATAATCATTGATGGAATAAGCAGAATATTGAAGAGTGAGAGAGAATGTGATTACATAAGTTAGTAAGCATAGCGACTTCAATTATGATCATAAGCTAACAATGAATTTTCTGCCTTCTAACAAAAGAGTAATTCAAATGAAGTTTACAAGAATGAAGTCGACACGATGCAAAATATTATAGCTAAAAATGATGTTGGCAGAAAAAAAAAATGCAAACAAAAAAAAAGGAAGAAAGGGAAAACAATAAAGTTTTCTTTATGCAAATAATTATTTGTCTCATTTGCATAGCTCTGAGCATATTTGCTGCGTTGTATTTAATTTTTTTTTTTTTTTTTGAAGAAAAATCAAAACTTATACATTTTATTAGGTTCTATAGAATAAAAATTTGTAGTTTGTTGTTACAAAGATGACATTTATGATCATCAAATCGAAGCACATTTTTATCATCAATGAATATGTTTAAATTTCAAAAGTAATATCCCATACTTTATGACTATGTAAGATCATATGACGAGAGCAAAATTCTCGAAATCTTAATTTAAAACTGTGAAAGTTAAATTGTCACATTGGGATTTTAAAATCATTTAATTAATTTTGAAACCACTACGACATATTTCACTAATAATTTTTAAAAATCATGAAATTTTTGGATTAAAAATTGTTAATGTTGGCAGAAATTACAATGTTTATGCTGTGCCTCTCAATGAATAAAACATTTCTCCTTTTTCAGCATTTTCAACCTTTTACTTTGACACTCCTTTGTCACAATCATAATTTTAACACCAACAAATCTCAATTCGATAAATGATAGGAGATTAGTATTTTCACAGTAGACAGATATTAGTAGCACAGCTATGTCGCTTATTGCTACACTTTGAGACTTTAGCAAACCTAATCCGAATCAACGGTTCAAGCAGGTGTTTGCTAAATTTTGTAGCGCTAGATTGCGATGCTTCATAATGTGTTAAGGGATTTTGAATGTACGAAAATTGTTCATCCATTAGTTATGAAGCGATTGACCTGACCTCATTAATTATGAAGTAATTAATTTAATTTGTTTTAAAAGTTCACGTACAATTTGATGAAAAAAAAACGTTTTAACGTAGCATATTTGGCTATATATTTTTCATCTCATTCGATTTTTTTAGCATTGATATATGCAGAGTTCATATTTTCGATGTTTGTTAACTTATTGCTTGAAAATATTTTCATCCAATTTTTTCATTTCAAATTTTAAAGTGATTCATCTTTAATTCAGCCTTACTTTTTATTAGTATTTGATTTTCAGAATTATACAAGCATTCAGATCCCATGTGAGAAATATTGGCAGATTTTTAGCATCTAAAATGAATCTAATTAATTTTGCTATATTCATGTAATGAAAATCTTCTTTCGTTTCTGCAATATTTTATGAGGGATAGATTTGTTATTATTAAATTATTTCAAACTTCATATAAACTTTATCGTGCATTTTAAAATTTTAAATGGTTTTAAAATTTAATATGACAGTTTAATTTTCGTGAAATTGGAGTTTGGAAATATAAACAGTTTATTGACTGAAATATAAACAAATTAATTTGTGCAGGTAACTTCGTAAATGAAATGCTGATCAGCTATAAACCATTTGTTATAGGATTTCATCCATTCACTATTCAGGATCGTATTGTAATTACCACGGAATCGATGATCTTCATTCATCAGACATAAAATTAGAGTACGTGCAGAACGTGATAGAATACTTCTCGAAAAAATTATCTCATTTGATACCTTTTCATTTTCATCATATCGAACCTACGGAAAACATTCATTCATTCTTTAAAACTTTTAGCGTCTTTTTTTTCTTTTTTTTCCTTTACGACAACAAATTTTCATTAAGCTATTAATACCAAACAGTTATAAATTTGCATGTTTTAAATATATGAAAATTGAAATAATTCAATGAAAATATTAAAAGAAAACGACAAACAGCTGGCCATTTTCCGGTAAGCATTGTATACAATAGCACACCCATTGCATACCAATCAGTGGCATATGCATTATACGGAAGATGTCTGAATTTTAGATTGCAATAATTCTGATAAAAATTTAAACTTAAATTTAATCTTAATATATTAATGCTGGCAAATAATAAGCTTGTTTGTAATGGTTATAAATTTATTTAGCAATTCTAATGAGTATTCAGTAAAATGGAAAATTGGAAAATGATTAATTATTTTTTTCCGGTTTACCAATCAATTAGAGCAATTTTTCGCCATTAATTAAATGATTTTGGACATTTTTTTCTGCAGTATATTGAATTTTTTTTGCAATATATTTCTAGTGACATTTTTCTTTTATTTCATTGAATGGAAGTCAAAAATAGTGCAATAATGCACCAAAATTGTGCATTTGAATATATTTCATTTCGAACTAACCTAACAATTTCTGGCGCAGAATAGGGTTTGGTGCCACAAAATGAGTGCGATAGCTCTCTCGGGTTAATGTAACGTGCAAAACCGAAATCGGTAAGCTTTACATCACCATTTGAATCCAAAAGCACATTTTCAGCTTTAATATCACGATGTACAACACCACGATCATGAAGATAGTGGATCGCTTCTGTTAGTTGACGGAACAGATGACAAGCGTGTGGAAATTCTATTCAGATTCTCATTAGTTCTCATCAAATAATTAAAACATTTATTCATTTGTAAGAACGGAGCAGCTCATTGATCACTTCAAATACGATGTAAATATGATTAGATGAAAAAATACATGAAATAAATGTTAATAAAGCTCAGATGTTTGTTCCTAATAGAAGCATTATCGTCACATTTATATATCATTCTAAGAATTACAATAATTATATTGTTAAAAAGTTTAATTAACAAGATACAAAAGCTAACCAGGGATTTTTTTGTATTCAAGAATTAAATGCAGCAGAGTTCCACCGGGATAATATTCGCTGATAATAGCAATTTTAGTTGGATGAGGTATTTGAATTGATAATGCCTAAACTTTGATAAAATGTTATAAGTTTTAGTTCTAATAAAAGCGTAATATTTAAAAATTAAAAATAACAATTCATTATTGGACATAGCAATTCGACAGATCTTCATCTCACCAAATTTTTGAGCTAAATTTTCAAGTACGATTGAAGAATATAACCGAGTAGTTAGGAAGTTTATAGTAGACGCAAATGAAAAGTGACTATACAAAGCGTAATACTTTAAAAAAGCGTAATTCATTATTGCATATTAAAAGCAAATTCTGATAGCATGAAATCAATTTATAGAAATAATAAATTGAATAATCAATTAAAGATAATGAGTTGGGTCTCATTAAGACAACCGCTGACTTCACTTTTTTTGACAAACTATTAAATGTTGATGAGAAACTTACACGCGCAATGTGTGGATGTCGAACTATTTGGGTAAATAATAGTTCGCGTGGTAAAAATTTTACAGCAATCGATTTTGGTAATGCGTTTAAATCGATCATTTTTATAGCAACTAAGCGTTTATAGCTGCAAGGAAAATGTGTTCCAGTTGCGCATTCAGCGTAAGTGAAATTTTGGTCGAGAATTTTTGAAACTGTTAACAATAAATTCATGCTTTAATGCTTTCATGCTTCCTTGATTCACTGATCACTTCTTAGTTTTTGCTTGTCATTTGTTTACTTGTTGATAATTTTTGATTCATTCAGGAGGATTAATTCGACAAATGGATTTGTTTTGAATAAGACTGAATTCATTAATTTCAAATTATTCTTTCAATAGATAACTTCTCGAAGATGCAAGCAGACAATTCTGGCACTTAGAGTGCTAAGATATCAAAAGCTAATTGCAAATAGCGATTTTAGTTTTTGATTGAAATTTCACATCCTCCATAGATAGTAATATTAATTTAGTAATGAAAACCACATACAGGCCTGATTTAACACAAAAAACCGTCGAATGGGATGTTGCAGCGATTTTTGATTTGATAGCTCCATCGATGGAATGAAGAACAGTGTGAAGCGCAAATTCCATTGTTGGAGAATAATGCGACATTTCACCACCGTACCCTGCCATTTCATCCAATAACAATGCATAATTCTCAATAGTTTTTAATTTATATTTAATCATTACAATGAAAACTTTCATTCAATTGTTAATTTATGATCAGTGTGACAATCTACGACCGTCATTTTATGGTTTTACGATAACGGTTGTTTTACGGATTTATGATCAGTATGACGAAAGGAAAGCGGATAATTTCTTAAATGTTACAAGAAGGAAATATAAGACAGAAAGCAAAGCATTATGAACACTAATGCCAAAATATTTGCATACCTTAATGATGGATGGAACGAATAGTTGAGATTTGAGAAAGTTTTTCGGATGATAATCCGGAGAACTGCTATAAGTAGAAATTGAATTCATGCATTTCAGCCATTTTTCGCTTATAGTGAGATCGTTGCGGCCATAAATTTTGTGCTTTCCATCTCTTGTAAAATGGTCAATACTACTAACTCAGGTAATACTCAGTAATGACAATAAAGTTTACTTCTAAAAAATTGTAATTATTCTTTTATTTTATTTAATTTATATCTTAATTTAAATTTTCAGGCAGTTAAACAATTATTAATATCCTTATTTCCTTATAATTAGAACTGAACATCTATTTTGAGCTTGAGCTTAGTCATTTCATTTAAATTCAACTTATAATTGTTGCTGTTCAACAAGTTTGATTTTGGAACTTTAATTTTTACTTTCAGTCTTCTGTTGGAGTGTTTTGGCAAGTAAAATTTTAAAAATTAATATTCCAAAAGTTATTAATTTCTTTTTTTTAAATCCTTCTGCGAACATGAAAAGCATTTTAAAATCACATCATTAGTTGCAGAAAACGTAAAAAAAGTCATTCACGTAGAAAGCATCTTACCATTAATTTTTTATCACGATTCTTTATTATCAGTGTGATACCAAGCTGTATTTACTCCGACAATTTGATAATTTAATTGTTCAAAAAAAGTGAAATTTGCAAAATAATTCAAGCTTATTAGAATCTTAAAAAAAGCTTTCTTCTCTAATTCTTCATGCCCAGGAGAGTTATCAATCCTACTATGTCTATATCTTTGTTCATGCAATTTTTGTTTCCAAAAAAAAAAAAAAAGATTAAAACGAGCGTATCATATGCTGAAAATTAACATTAAAGGAGTGGTAAATTTTCTTTAAAATATGATACATTTTAAAACCTAAAAATTAACGCTTAATAAATTTTTTTATTATAATGAATTTGCAATTTAAAGTGAATAGACAATAAAATCTTTCGAGTTTTTGTAATGCTATCTTAATTGACCTTCAAGAAAAAAAAGAACAGAGATGGAGAAATCCGAAACAGTGATTTAATCAAAACGGACGAAAACGAGTTTCTCCAAGACCATTTGTTAACTTCACAGAACATTTATGATATTAGCGCAATAAGCATTATATTCCAAATTTTTGATAGAAAATTATATTATCTATCATTTTTTCGAGTCATAATAATTAAAATGAAAATTAAAATTGCGAAAAAAAGAATTAAAAGTGAGGGTAACAGCAAAAAAAGATATGAAATAAGTATGACATAGAATGATTATTAGAGAAAAGAAAATGAAACGGATCAAGTGTGAATTTACTTCGTTTAGCAATCTAAGTGGTCTCTTTAAAAATTATTTAAATTTTTAAAATTTAACCATAACTAAATAACACTTCATGATAGAAAATGAGGAGGGAAAAAGCTTTAAAAATTATATATATATTTTTTTGAACAAGATGAAAGCAAGCCCTCTTAATTTAATTTAAAAATAATCGTATTTATTTGTATTATCTAATCACTTGAAGCTATCATATTAAAATTATTACCTTTCATTATCTCGAAATGTTCGTAGCAAAAAATTTTCGTTGTTACAAATGCAACATCAAATTACAATTATCATATTTCGTGAAATAGGAAATAAATTTCAATAAGTAGAGATCTGAAGGATACTTAATGTGTAACTTTGTCAAATGTATTAATATCATTTATATGAGTTTCGAAATGTGAATTAGAAATGCTAAGAAGATAAAAAATTATTATTATACATCTTAGAAGGGTTGACTCATACGTTTATATAAAGTCATTCGTTATATATTTTATAAATTGTGAAATAAAAATTTCAAGTTTTTTTTTTCTTACGAAATGGACGATCACCGCAAGCGAACCGGAAAATATTTGAATGTATGCGAGTAGAGAGAAATGGGGTAAGAGGTCGAAAACATTGGGGAAGGCATAGTTAACGAATTAAACCATTAAATTCATTTCTTTTTTTTGTCCTAACCATGATATATCATTGCGAACATCACAATTATATCAGATCAACGATTTGATCTTTGTTCAGTAAAATATAGGGGAGTGGTTTGATCAGTATTAGGTGAGATTATAAAATGCTAAAATTGACGAAACTTTCGTGAAATTTGTTTATTTTTTCATCATTAAGAGGTTATTCGTACAGCATATGAAATTTTTCTTTGTCCAATTTTTGATATTAAATTTTTTGGTTTTGTAGTGAAAGAAACATTTATTGATGTGAAGACAATTAGTTTTTTTTTTTCCTAATTGTACTGAATAATTTTATAAATCTTTCTTCAAACCTCTCCTCCTGTACTTAATGAGAAAGATGTGATGTTCAGAGGAGTGTAAGATATATTTTCTGACAACGATAATGAACCTATATAGATTTAAACGAATGCTTTTTTCCTTCTAAGCTTCTATCAACACGACTAGCGTTTAAAAATTAGCAATAGAAATATGTTCGATTAAACTGATCAAGAACTGTATATTAGAGTTGCAACGATGCGCACAGTATTACTCGTATTTGTCATCGTAATCGTGACGGTTATGGTACACTCCGTACCACTTCTCAATGATGCTAAAATGACGGACAGCGTGGATCAACCGTAAGTTATTTTCATTTATATTGAAGTTTTCACGAAGATTGATTTCAGAAATGAATAAATCATTATTACATTTCTAAAACTTTACTTTTCATCGCAATATTCGTTTGTGAAATTCATTTCGCATATTGTATTTGTTCATGAATTAGTTTTTATTTCGTGTTTTAGAAATCAAAATCGAAAAAATTAGCAGCTATCATTAATATTTTCCACATTTTAGATTCAGTCTGGTTTCAAATATAATTCAAACTGCTACCTATCACTATTTTTTATTTTGTGAAAATTTAACAAATTAAATACATATTTTAGGAAAAGAGTGAAAAGATATTGGGATTATTGGAGTTCTCCATCAATCAAATTCAAAACGCCTTTTTTTAAAGTGAAATTAAAAAGCCCATATATGTACGGTGGTTATCCATTTGGTGGTGGATATGGTGGATACGGTGGATATGGTGGATACGGTGGATATGGATGGCCTGGATTTCATTTTCCTTATCACACGCCATTCCATGGTGGATTTGGTTCTCCTTTTTATACGCCATACTATGGTTGAATTTAACTTCAACCATAACATATTTCGATTGAGTTAATGTAATAATCTCAATCAAATATATTTCTATGCAATTAATCTAATAATTTTTAAAATTAAAAATTAAAGAAATCTTGAAAATGTAATTTATTAAATTATATGAACTTCCACTTATCGATTGTTATATTAATACATCTAAAAATAAGATTACCTGTGTGTAATGGATTAAAGCCTATAAATAATGCTTTCGAAACATTCAAACAAACGATTGTATCAATTCTGATTAAGCATTATCATTAATCATCATTCAAAGTATTATGACCAATCATCGTTAATCGTCATTCAAAATATTATCATTAATCATCATTCAAAAATTCCATCTATTCTCTTCATTTCTATAACTCGAACTGAATTCAGTAATTTCGTAGTAGGAAAAAGACTTTCAAAGAAATGTCATAATTTTATTGACTTCATGTTCTTTCATTCCAGTTTCTTCTTGGCATTTCCCTATTATTATTGTCTTCTCCTTTCCCAGGATCATTTGACTTATTCGTCTCCATCGCTTCCATAATATTTTCTCAGAAAAAGTCAAAAATATATCATTTGAGATCGAAGATCAAACTGAAAATGTGCTTAAAGAATGAAATGATGTCAGAAACAAGAAATTATAGACTTACCCTTGAAATTATTAATAAAGTCAGCAATAAAAATGATAGTCGTCGAAATTGACTGATAAAACTGCGAAGCATTGATCATTAACTTATTATTAATTAATTAGGGAGCAAATATTTTATAGTGTTATTTTAATCATCTATGCATGGGTTTCATCAGCTGTTATATCATTTGCTTTATTTGTGTGCATTATTAGTTAAAAATTATTAACTTATGAAAATTAAAAATTGCAAGAGGAAGTTTTGTAAATTAATAAATCAATCAATTTAAAATTATCAAATGTTTTTAAAATCATTTCGCATTTGCATCTTTTCCTTCAATTATCAATTATGATATTAGGTACTCAGTTTGTTGTATTGTTTCATTTGAACTGAAAATCAGAGCAATAAACGTATTCGAATGTTAAAATTATAATTTGCTTTATGAGTATACGGTAATTAATTCCTAGAATTCATTCTTTTTTTTAATCGAATGCGAGATATTTTCAGGATTTCTGAAATGCGCGATGATAGTATATAATTATTTCACTTTTCGTTACTTTAATTGTTGTTGTTTTGAATTCAGTCATCAAAAAAAAAGTTTTAAAATAGTTATTGGACGTTTATTTACCTACATTGCAAAAGTTACTAAAAAATTTTTATTAATTCAATAACTTTCCTGCACCTATAGATTAATTCCGCACTCCATCAGGTATATTTTAAAATATTTTGCGCATTTTGTGATGCCGATAAGAAATTGATATCTATTAAAATTTAAATTCATTTTTTTAAAGGAATGTTCGGGGTACTGTATTTAACAATTCTTTTATGCGCAATATGTTTCGCTATGCCGACGTTTGATTTATACTCGATGAGTGACAATAATGAAATGGAAAAGTACGTCTTTTTTAATTCTTCATCTTTGAACTCAAATCTTTTTATATTACGACAGGTAAAATATAGCATATATAATTGAGGGAAATGAAAAAAGTCATTTCAACTAGTTTAACAATTCGGATATATCGGATAGTTAATAAGAATTTAATATTACTGTAGATTTTGTATAAATTTTTAATTAATTTGAAACTGTTCGCAAAATTTTTAAAAAATTTTTCAGCATCCGAATGAAACGTTCTGGATTTCTTGGTGGCTACAATCCATATTCATATAGTGAACCATACGTGTACAAAATTAAAACTCCAAATTACAAGATTAAAATTAAAAGTGGCAACCCAAGCAATATCGGTCAACCGCCACACGGGATCCCCAATACTATCCATCCTCCGTATGGTGCCGGTGCATTCCATCCATTACCTAACTTACCTTATGGCTATCATCACAGTCCTTATGGATATGGATATGGATGGCATGGATAGGCTGATGATGTTTTTTCTTTTTATTTAGAACAGATAAACTGTATATGATTTGTTATTGTGCAATATTTATTTGTTACTTTTGCATAAATATTGTAATCAAAAATTAATTTTAAACATGATGAAAGAAGAATGAATGCTTGAAAAGAAGAAGCCTTTTAAAGGGTCAATAAAGGAGGGGAAAAAGCCTATGATCAAAATCACTGTTTACATATCGAAAAAAAAATGAAAAAAATATTTCATTTCATTTTTTCATTTTTTTTTATTTAAAAAAGAGAAAGTAATTGAACAGTCAAAGATTGTTTTTCTTGAATATAAAACTTTCGGTTATTATCCAGAGCAATTTTTGAATTTGCATTTGATTACATCAGATGTTGCTGATATTGATTAAAATAATTCACTGGATTGAACTTAAAAGGGAGGGAATGTACTAACAGAATGTAACCTCTCGAAAAGTGAATAGTCAGATAAAGAGATAGAATTCTCAATGCATTAATTTTGACGTTTATCATCTTTATTACTTTAGTTACTTCAAATTTAATATTCAATGAATTTTGCAATTTTATCCTTAAAATTTCCATTTTAAAATATAACAAGCATTTTTCAACATTATTGATAAATTTGTCCATTTCCGATGATGGAATGTTGAAACGAACCCAAATTACGAAAATGCATATGTGATTTAATGAAGAAAAGCTGAAAGATAACGATTGGTAAATAACAGCTGAAGAAATGATTTAAAAGGGATTTAGAAGGATTTAACTTTGAATATTGAAAAGTATTTTCGGCTTATAATTAAGGATTAGTTCTTTCTCCCCCTTCTTCTCTACAGTTCATATTGAAATTTCTGAAATTAACAATTCCATCATTATTGACGATATTCCAACATCAAATGAAATACTAGTAAAAAGATGAAATTTAGTAAATCTGATGATTTCATAACTTCGTTAGATAAATATTTCGCTTAAAAAGCTTAATGGAGAAAATTTTGCAATTTTTGAATAGGATATGGAAAAAAATATTTAAGACATTGTTCAAGTATTTTCAGTTTAACATTTCAGTTCTTTTTTCTTTAGCACACATGAGCAGTTGATAATTTAATTCCCACTAAAAACTTCATTCCTATGATTCTTTTTTTATAATACAATTAAATTATCCATTGCTAATTTATCTTCCGAATTGAAAACATTGAATTGGTCAAACAACAGAAATTTCCTCCCAAATATTTTGCGTAAATGTCACATGTCAACTACAACATAAAAAAAAATAGCAAATATTTGAACACTGAATAGAGAAGCAGAAAAGCTAAAATACAACTAATTTAGAAAGTTGGAATATCATAAACAAAATTTGTATCTCGAACAAGTTCAAAACGAAATCCAAATAATTTCAGTCAAAATGTGAATAATATATGCAAATAAATAGCAAGTCAAATTCAATTAAACTATCATACTTTTGAACAATTCTGAAAAGCTCTGTAAAAGTAGTGAGATTAATAAATTATTGAATTTGAATTGGATCAAGTGAGTATGGTGTTGGCTTAATGCCATTCTGACTTTTTCTTATCCTTTCGTATACTATGATCTGAAATTAACCTCTTTTGTTATTTTTTAATTGAATTAAAAGACATATTTCTAGAAAAATGTAATAAAAAGTGATATGACGAAGAAACTATCCTTCAAAGATAGATTGAATAATTTAAAACATTTGCAAATTCCCACTGAGAAAAATTTTCTGAAGCAAAAAAATTGTTTGACATGAATCTTAATGCTATTAGAATATTTCTAATGCAAAATTTGAATATTCCAATGCCAGTTTGATCCTCTCTTCATTTTCTTTCAGATAAAGTTTAACAATTATGATCTTTATTAATTTTTTTATATAAAGGTTAAAAATAATATAAAAAATTTTTATGCCTTTATTAATTTTTTTATATAATGGTCAAAAACATTATAAAAATTGATACTGAACAAATATCAAACCTGACATATCAATTAAATATGATATTAATATTCTGTGTCATTTTAAAAATAAATTTAAAAACTAAAAATTGCTTACGAAATGGTTTACCTCATCATCAGTATCATTGCGTGTGTTAAAAGCTTTGTTTATTTGTGTAACACAAAAATGTACATTACTACATTGTTGTAGTTCAAAAATTTTCATCAGACGACGAAAAATGACAAATTCGAGTGATTTTTCGAACGCTATCACTAATAGGAGGATAAATCGCAATGGTGAAATATCCTGGTACATTTGACACCGTGAAAAGATGGTCCCTTTAATAAAGATTTCATTTGTTATCTCATTATTATTCAATGATAACATCAAAAATGCGGCTAAGAAAATTGATAGTAATACCTGAAGGTTTTTCTCGAGAGAGTGCAGAACGAATGATTTCAACGAAAGACATTAAATTATAGTTTAGGAAAAGCAAAATAATAATGTTTTGTTTGAATAAAAGTCAAACATACATATTCAAAAAGAGAGAGAGAGAGAGAAAGAGAAGTTATCAGGGATATAATGAAAAAAGTATAGCTAGCTAATTGTAAACAAATTGTAATATCTTTCTGGTAAAGTTCATTGAAATAACAATATTACTATATTCCAGGAAGAAAAAAATACGTGAAACGAACCATGATATGTAAGAAGAAGGGGCAAATTACTGGAATATGAGCAGAAGAATTTACTGAATAATACGAAAATCCATGCTGATAGTAAAATTATGACAAGTGTTACCTGAAAATGCTAAAAATTCGATTATCATTAATTAAAATTAATATAATGTGTAAAGTTATATTACAGTTTCATCTAAAATAGTAAATGATAGCTCACAAAGTACAAATAACCTTTTGGAAAGAAATAAAAAAAAAAAACTTAATCATTAAGAAATGAAAAATACTTGATGAGCTTATTCAGTATTTTATTATGTTTAATTGTGAAGCTATCATTTAGCTAGTTATTATCGTTCTGTTTAAAAAGGTAATTACTGAGCTTTTGAATTAACCTTTTTAAATACTTCAAAATAAACGTTTGAGAATAAGAACAAAATTGTTTGTTTTACACTTTGGAAAGTGAGCATATGAGAAAAAAAAAAAGCTTCTGTTTGGAAATTTTTTAACTGTCAAATGAGACGAACCGTGGTGACAAGAATCGGATACAGCATGACATTATTGCTATCTTTGAGTGCAAACACAGCACAAATAAGTGATATGATGTACATACAGATGAAGAAAGAATATTTCGGTGCGACATCAACAAATCGTGATTCGAGAATGAGAAGTAGGAAGAGAGTAATCAGATTACCAATTACCAATAACCATCCAATTGCCTGGATTGGAATTTAGTAAAATTTATTGATCAAATATACGATTAGCGATTAAATTTATCAATATCCTGAATTATTCCGAATTTATTCATTGCGTCTAATTTTTCCTAGCTATTTTTTTCTTCATTATGAATATATTCAAAATTGATTTTTTTTCTTTCTCTCTTTTTTTTTTTGATTAAATTCAAAACTGTGTTCAAAGACTAACTTTGAGATTTTTAACTGAATCCGCTGATATTGTTGCAAATTCAATTGCTTCATTCTGTTTTGATAGTGGCGCAGCCATTTGCTCTTTTAAGACACTGATCCTCTACTTTAAATTTTTAATTTTAATGTGATTTTAATAATGACATATAGCATTTCCCTCATTTGAATTTTGCTGATAACAATAACGAATATCGTGCTTGTTGCCATGCTTACTTAGAAGTTTCCTATTTTTTTTTCTCTCACTTGGCTTCATTTTTCAACAAATCTTTTTTTTTTCAATGAACCTTGATCTTATACGAGTTTTTAGGAATTTATGATAAAATTTTTATATGCTAAATGTCATTAATTTTTTAGGTGAATAGCAAACATTTGAATGAAGAAAATCTAGGATCTGTAAGTTTTGGAATGAATAAAAGTGTCGAATTTAGTAAAACATCGATGACAAAATGATTCTTGCTAGAAAATGATGAAATTTTCTAATTCGATGCAAAAAAAAATGATTTCGCCAACTTAGAATATCAAAGATCATGGAACTGCTTAACCTAATATTAAAAAAAAAATGATGAAATGATTGACAGATGAAAATTTAGAAGATAGATTAAATGCATTTGAATTGAACATGTTTATATGCCATTCTGCTGTCACAGCTGCTTGTGATCGATAGTGCATCACCATGAAATTTCGCATAATATCTTCTATGGATTTTAATTCTTTCGTAAACAGTCCCTTTTCTCTATTAAATTCCGAAATTATCAGATTTCATTTGTCAAATATTAAAGTCGGCTGTTGTCCTAAATGGATTTATTGATTTGCTCAGAAGAATTAGAAGAGATGGAAGAGTTCTCGAAAAAAGGGAGAAGAGAATAAAGAAAAGGGGATGACAAAGAGAATGTGGATGCATTTCTGTGATTGATCACACGATTATTAATAGTAAATTTCTATTAATGCAGAAAGTTGTAAAGATCAAATGAGCTAGCATATTGACAGAAATATTTGCATAAATCTTTCACAACATTTCGTTTAATGCATTTTATACTAAATTTCAATTTCAATTGTCTATTTACATTTTCATTTTTCATATCAATGCTTCGTCGATACGGTAACAACAAATGTTAGACAGATGGCAATGAATATTGCATAGCATTCGGGAAATGTAATATTTATTCAGGGAAAGTAAGATAGAAATGAAAAAATATAACAAGGAAGTATCAGGCATGACCTATATAACAAAGTTGACCTTTTTGGAGGTATAAAATGCAAAGGAAGATGAAAAATGAAAAAATGGAATAGTTAGGATTGAAATTACAGTCTCATAGCTGAGCAATTGAAGGTTAAATGTTTTAACTTTCTGATTTTCATGAAAAAATCTTATAAAAGTGTAAAAGTAGAAAAGCATTAAAATGTCAAGAAACAAATTTTAGAGTGTGATTTATAAAATTCATACTACTGTGAACTCATAAAGTAACACTGTTAGATTTTACAAAAAAAAAAAATAATAATAATACCCAAAAAGTGGAAGAGATGAAAGCGAAAATCAAAACAGCAATATAAATTACAAGCAAGCAGTTCCCTCGTATTAGAATTTTTCATATGAAATATGTTAAATTACTACTATATTGTTATTGAGAAGCTACATAATTAAAATAAGTAAAATTTCGCTTTCAATCACATTGAAAAATTTTTGAGTACAGTACAGCTGAAAAATAACGCTTATCAGAAAGATGAAATTATATTCTTACTACAATTTTATTCAAATTTCTTTGATTCAAACTTTTATATCATCTCTCTAAACCCTTTTCTATTTCCCGATTTACATTGCTATCTTTCGGCATTTCTTTTTTTACATGCCGTTTATAATATCAAAAAAAAAAAAAAGAAAAAACTCCAATAACAATTTGACAAGAATAGCTAAAATTTATTTCATATGAAAGAACCACGTAAGAGCTATTTATATTGAAATGCTGCTTTCTTGAATAAAAGATTGCCGAAAATACAAGCAAATGTGTCGCTCATAAAGCATCAGAATTACAATAATGTTTTGCCTTCATAAAGTTAAAAAAAAAGATTTAAGATTTAAGGGTTTCATAGAACATCAACATTTCAAGAAGAAATATATCAACTTCTTCATTTTATTCAAATTTCGTACTATACTTCTACCAATTTACATGAAATAATGCCAAGGTTTACTAGTAACCTATCTTGCATAGTAATTAAGAAATTTCTAAAAATCAAACAGACCAAAATGCTGTAAAAGATTTCGAGGTTGTAAAACTTCTGAATTTTGAACATTGAAGAATAAATGCTACACAGTTGTACATTAGAAATATGATTTGTAGCATTTGTTAGCAGAGCATCATAATTGTTCTCGAATGAAAAAACTTGTCTAAAAATTGGACATATTTTCATGCCCATTTATGATCTTTCTTTTCTTCATTATCTTATTTCAGGGAATTTTATCTTCTATCGATTTACATGAGTACGTGTAAGTAGTATGTGTAACATTACTTGTAGTATTTCTATCTTCATGCAATATTTAATAAATTAATTCACATATTTCAAATAACTCGAATATTTTTTAAATACTTTGTGCTTACATTATCAAAAATTCTTGATATGGAATATCAAGAACTACTGATCTAGCTTAAATGTACGACTTCAATATTAATAATGTTGTCTTTTTGAATAACAATGTCAGTTTTTCAGGTAATATTCAAAATGAAAAATTACAAATTATGCAACATAGCATGATACCATTTTCCTCCTCTAATTGATAGAGGCAATTCATGTAAATTAATTCATAAAGACAAATCGTTTTAAATCCTAACACATCCTGTAGAATTCTACCTGCTTTCCATAAAACTAATAAAATTTTTAAATTTATTGAGATTTAAATTACAAAAGGATCATAAAATAGAGAAAAAAAAAATCTTTTTGTATTATCATAATATGTTAGCAGACAACAGATTTGCTACAAATATATGGAGAGATATGGGAGAGAAAGTGCCAGAATCAATTTATTTCTAATTCATTTCAAATATATTAGCGAAAAATGTATAGAACATACTCTTATCAAAAATTTTCGTATGAAAATCAAATGGCTTTCAGTATGAACCAAACGTTACAGCTGAGAAAACTTTTCGATTTCTAATTTTCTTCAAATTTATCCTTCACCCTTCCAGCAAACTGAAACTAAACAAAATGGGAATTCAAAAAAAAAAAAAAACAACGCTTAGTGCTAATTGACAGTACAATATAAGGCAGTTGTGAATAACTTAAATAAAATGTATGATTTTAATAGTTGATTGATAACGAGAGCATATTTAGGGCCATTACTATCCCTGGTTCATCGGTACCATACTGGGCATTATCCTCAGATTCGACCTGATTGCATTAATTTGAAAACGAAATCTAGAAAAAATCCTGAAAGTTAGATTAAAATAAACAACAATGGCAATAAATTTTCTCCAGGAAAATTAAATTAATGCCAAGTTTAAACATCAATCGATCCAACATCTCATAAATCAAATCTGAGCAATTTCTTCTTCAAGAAAACTACGAATGTTTTTTTTTTTCAAAAAAAAAAACAACCAATTTAGATGAATCTATTTTAAATCAAATTACTGCGTAAATCAGAATTTTACTTAGCAACCTTCATGTTGTAACTGATTCATCTAAAACATGATTTAAAAAAAAAGAGTAAAAGTTAGTAAATAAGAATGCTACTCACTGCCTCGTACTCCTCCGTTCTGGTCCGCAGTTGGCACTTCCGGACGTATGGCCGTAAATCCTTGAGCGTTCATTTGTCTGTGAAATGGGCACATTTGACCACGATGATTGCCTGTAAATCCCGATCCTGTTATATCTTTCGGCTATCCTAACATATCATTTCCATTGCCTATCATCACTTGCTGGCCACTTATCATATCTTCAATGATAAGGTCCAATCATCAAAAAAAAATGTTGATTTTGATAACTGGAATAACTGCTTTTTGCATTAAATATTTTTGAAATCATTTTTCAATTTGTATATATATATATATATATATTTTAAGAAAGTAATCAAATGTAAATGTGCAGTTGAAGATATGCCACTCAATAAAGTACAAATCAAAAACGTAATAAAATTTCGATTTATATGGAATATACTTCAATATTTAAAACTGAAACCTGATTGTACTATTTGTTGCTGACGAAAAGACTGCAGCATTGATGACCGCGTGGACATTTGCACTGATTGTTGTGCCATTTGTCCTTGCAATTGACCATTTAGCATGCCTGTCTGCTGCTGCTGCTGCTGCTGCTGCTATTACAAAAGCATTTTAAAAAGTATTATGTAAAAATTGCTGAAATTGTATGAATTGCTTAAAATAAAATTAAACGGACACAAACAAAAAATGAAACAATCAAATAACTGGAAAATTAATTAATGATAATCTGACCAGGCTGAATTTAAAATTTTATTTCAGCTATCCAAGTTCAAATTATAATTTATTATGCAAACAATCTTTATTTTGAAATTAAAAAATTTCAATTAAGAAATTTATAAATAAAAAAAAAAAAACAAATCTTAAATGAACTAGTGGATAATCTTACGTACCATCCGTAATAAACATTCCACCTGTAGGGGTATATACATTACTGATCCGCTTTTTCAAGTCTGTATTTACACTTCATTCCAAATTTCAAATTTAATTTTTAAAAACTAACAGATAAAAATTCCATCCTAATTCATCATGTGAAATAATAAAAACTAAAAAACCTGTTGTGCATCCGTCATTTGAATTTCTTCTTGCATGCGCATTTTCTTTACGACCGGTTCCATCGTCACCGATTACCCGAGAATGTGTGCTAATGAATTGAAGAATGAATTAAATAATTAAAAATTTGCTAGCCGTTACTAAAAATATGCAAATTTTGTTCCTATTTTCTCATCCTCTTTCACATTACCCTTTAAATCTCAGAAAAATTTGCATGCAAGAGGAAGCAAACCTCTTCATGCCTACAAAAGAGAAGTGTTCAAAATCTCGAAAAAATGCACATAAGAGTTTTTATTTTTTTTTCTTGAGTTTTTTTTTATTTTTTTTTCATGCGTGTAAGATGAAAGCCTTTAAAATCTCGAAGGAAAAATTTGCGTAAAAAAGAAAAGTACTATCTAAAACACCACAAAAAGCCATATAATAAGGTAATAATTTAATAATTTAAGGTGAAATTGCAGATATCTGTCAATAACAGATGTTAGTGAATGATGACAACATGACTATCTGAATATGCTGAAGTAAAAAATGAGATTCGATATTTCAAATTACAAGGCCATTGATGGCATTGATAATCAATGTTAAGGCGATAATGATATCATTATCCTCTAATAAGCTTTTCTCAATTGTTCAAAAACTTTTTAAACAAAAGCTTGAAAAAAAAAACAGAGATAACTAACTTGCCGTTCATTTTGCTACCGAGATTGAACTTGTTGTGATCTCGATGCTGAATCATTCTTTCAGAAAGGAAATTCCGTTTTAGATAGAATGTCATTATTCTTTTAAAACGGAATGAGGTTTCCCTAATCCTTTTCACCAATTATAGCTAAGTCAATATAACAAGCCCTCCTCTATAAGTCTAAGTATATCTTGTTTTTTTTTTTCAATTAACTTCATAGCTTCCTCAAAAATTTTTTAATTTCTCTAAAAAAATCAAGCAAAAATGAATTTTTCTTGCTTAT